AGGGGAGGGTGTGTGAGGCTGAAGCCCAGGTCCGGGTGGAAGGAGATGATGGGTAAGGCATTTGTGTGCCTTACCCCAAACCAGGCACCACACTCCAGAGCCTTTCTTGTTTGTCTGCATGGGCCATGCATGCGTGCTGGGCCAGGAGCCGAGTTTGGCGACGATTTAAGTGAAAGTGTGTGTCTTCCTCAGCTGACGGTGCGTGGGGGCTGATGGAGCTCGGCCTAATATGAAAATCCCAAACCAAAACCAAATGAAAAAAATCTTTAGAAGGTCTTTGAAGTATTTATGGCTGCCCTTATGGGTATGAAATCCAGCTGTGGGCTCCAGGAGAGCAGCAAGCCTGCATTGCGTTGCATGTCGAGCTTGTAGTAAGTTAGAGGCAAAGCAGGAATAAACACATCAGGGCTGTTAAATAGAGGTTTCATGGTACATTTGCTTTCTGATCATCACATTCTCATGCTTTTATTCCCATGACATTCTACATCCCTTTCTGTAATTAATAATATCCACTCTGAGGAAACTTCCAAATATTTGCTGTAACTGGACTGAGAGGGAAACGTATTGCCATTTTAAGAACTTTGTTCTGCTTGTTTTGGTCTGATATTGCACTAGTGTTGCTCTGGGGATGCTGTCAATGAGAACCCTGGACCAGAAGGAGGGAAGGAAGCCTCCATAGGCATGTTTTGGAGTTTGTAAACATAGTTCCCAAACTTTTAATTGTATTTAAACAGAAAGAATAACTTTTATCTGATGTGAAGAGTCCCAAATGAAATTCATGTTTCTGGGCAGTTTGATGATTTCTTAAGGATGTACAAACTGCTGATTTCTTTTAAGGTGATTCACAAAAGCAATCAAAACTTGGGCTAAAGTGTTGCTTTCAAGTGTGCTTGTATAACTTGTATGTGTGCATGTGTGTGATTTTGGTAGAGATCTCCAAATTGTGTTTGAAACATTTTGTTACCAGAGACCAGAGTTATAACTTTTAAAGTCTTGGCTTTTAAATTCCAGCTCCGATAAGTAATTTCCTCTGTTTGAAGCCACTTTGAAAGGAAAAGTGTATGTTAGTTGAGTAAACATAAATTCAAATAAGTAAATGAATTCAGAAATTCATTCTTTTCTATTACAGATGAACCTCTAGTCTTGCTTTGAAAAAGCCATTTTGTGTAACTCTTGACTGAATAATTTCCTAATACACCTGTTGCGTGGATCACTGACACAGTATGCTATTTGAGAGGTACTTTTGCTTGATCAAATACTGGTGATTAGAGAAGAGAGGTATTTTATTTTTCCTGATCATTATGAACATTGGCTTTTCACCCTGAAATAAAAATGTTGAAAACCGAGTCTTCAGGCGAACGAACCACTCTCAGAAGTGCCTCTCCTCACAGGAATGCGTATAGAACTGAGTTCCAGGCACTGAAAAGTACCTTTGACAAACCCAAGTCAGATGGGGAACAAAAAACAAAAGAAGGTGAGGGCTCCCAGCAGAGCAGGGGGAGGAAATATGGCTCCAATGTCAACAGAATTAAAAACCTATTTATGCAGATGGGTATGGAACCCAATGAGAATGCTGCGGTCATTGCCAAAACAAGGGGGAAAGGTGGCCCGTCATCCCCTCAGAGAAGAATGAGGCCCAAAGAATTTCTGGAGAAAACAGATGGCTCAGTTGTTAAGTTGGAGTCCTCTGTTTCAGAGCGAATTAGTAGATTTGACACAATGCACGATGGCCCTTCATATTCTAAGTTCACAGAAACTCGGAAGTTGTTTGAGAGAAGTGTGCATGAATCAGGGCAAAACAACCGTTATTCCCCAAAGAAAGAGAAAGCTGGAGGGAATGAACCTCAGGATGAATGGGGTGGTTCGAAGTCCAACAGAGGCAGTACTGACTCCTTGGACAGCCTTAGCCCCCGGACAGAGGCTGTCTCCCCAACTGTGAGTCAACTGAGTGCAGTATTTGAGAACACCGATTCCCCCAATTCCGTCATTTCTGAGAAGGCTGAAAATGAGTACTCAGTGACTGGACATTATCCCCTGAATTTACCAGCTGTGACTGTTACAAATCTTGACACCTTTAGTCGTCTTAAGGATTCTGATTCTTGCACTCCTCCAAGCAAACACGGTGATGATGCAGAGGATGCTCAGAAGAGCGACACATCCCCTGTACCAGAAGTGGCTTCGAAAAGTACCTCTCTCACTTTGATACCTAGTGAAGAGGCAGAGCTGAGCAAGGAAGCTGAGGACTCCACATCTAACCAAGAGACTCCTGACAGAGTTGACAAAGACGTTCCCGGAGAACCTTGTGCTGAGAACAAGGCAATGCCAGAGTCTGACATCCTCTCCCCCCAGAGTGAGCCTTTAGAAGATGCCAAAGCTAATTTGGTTGGGAATGAGGCAGCAATGCCACAGAAGAAAGAGCTTGCAGGTGGTGATTTTATCTCTGCTGATGCTTCTGGATCCAGCTGTGGGAAGGAAGTACCTGAAGATTCAAGTAATATTGAGAGTCCCCATGTTTACATGCACAGTGACTATAATGTATATAGGGTAAGATCCAGGTATAATTCCGACTGGCGAGAGACAGGCACTGAACAGGATGAGCAGGAGGATAGTGATGAAAACAATTACTATCAACCTGACATGGAATACTCGGAAATCGTTGGATTGCCAGAAGAAGAAGAAATCCCCACAAATAGGAAAATTAAGTTTAGTAGCGCTCCAATTAAGGTAAGTAGGTTTTCTCAGTTTGTTTTGCAAGTTTCCCCCCCCTAAGTTTTCTTAGTAGTATTTGGGCCTAACTGTATGCAGAACAGATTTTGACAACTAGAAGGAATTCAGGGTTGTTGATATACACATGTTGTTGGTGATTTATTTTATTTTATTTTATTTTATTTATTTTTTTTTCTGATCCCTTGCTTTATTTTAGAACCACATGGAAGCTTTATAGAATTTTGCACAGCGTTGTTGGTGATTTTAAAAGTATGGGAGATATCCATCATATTTCCTGATGTGCTTTAGAGTTGCATAAGCCAGTATTGAGTAATATTAAAGTTGGAGAAGTTTAGGGATTGTGAGATACTTTCCAATGGACCAGAGTGTGAATATAATATTATGAACACTGAAAACCAGGGGTGTTAGTCTGAAATAGAGTGACTTCTATAACTAATTTTACCTAAAGTTACCCATAAATAATAACATTTTCTGAATATAAACACTAGGATATCAAGTATAACACACAAAAGGGAGTCTTATGGTAAGCTTGAAATAATACTCTTTATTTCCTAGCTTCAAAAAATCTGAGTTATCCCTTCCTTAAGTGTAAGTGGATTGTGAGGAATGTTGGAATTTTTTTTTTTTTGTACTGCTACTTGGTAGTGAAAGTTTGATTCATGGAAATATATTAGCGGACTTAAATACTTTAATTGGAAAGCTATTATTGTAAATAGCTTTGCGTTCAGAATTTGATCTGTAGCTTTAAAGTGAAACTTTGTGAAAGGAAGTTAAGTTGATTTGCCACTCATGGATTTATTTTTACCTCTTGAAAACTGGATACATGCCAGCTGAATTCGGATGCTCTATTCTAACGACTTCACTTAGTTCACATTTGGTAGAGGAGTAGCACAGAGTACATCAGCAGCGGGTGGTGAAACATTATTAGCTGGTAATGGCAACAGGGTTAAGGAGTTGAGTGTCAGAATCTCCTGGAGTGCTGTTTCAGAGTGTCCTTGCCTCAGCCCCGTCCCAGGATCCTGGCATGCCCTCCTAGGGGAATCTGGAGGCAGCATGTGTAGTTTCAAACCACTTTCTAGGGGCTTCTATCTTACACACTGTATATATGATAGATTTGGAATTTGAGATGGTTTCTTATTAAATTTTCTCTTCAAAATCTCTAATCACTCACTGTCTATTGTCATTTCCATCTTAGGAAACTCCGATATAAGGCTGTAAGATGTGTAGTTTACAAAGCAAAGAGAAATCTGACCTTGCTTTAATGATGCAATACTGTTTTGAAATAAAGTTATAACCTGTGAAGTTGTCTACAGGTGTTAGACGGGAAACTTTCATTTCACGAATGTAAGGCAGAAGTTCTGGATCAGACCGGGCCATGTCAAGGTCAACTGTGTGTAAACTAGAGATGTGAGTCTAGTTCCTGAGCAAGCTAAGTTTACTTGCAGTGTTTTGCCCCCTTCCTTTGTTATTCTCCCCGGTATCCCCCAAATCCAGGCACTCGCTTTAGTGAGCCTGTTTCGGCTTGTTCAATGAGCTCCTGAATTTGACAGTTCATGTCCCCTTTGCAAGTGCTCCCATTTGAACATCATTGTTCTGCCCCTTAGGAAGAAAGCAATAAGATTAAATTGTTTCACATTGAACAAAGCAAGAATAACTGAAATGAACTCTTCAAGGAGTTTGTTAAAACCAGTGACTGACTCCCTTTTGGGCGGGGTGCGGGGGCGGGGGGGCGCGGGTGGGTCACAGCTTATGAAAGTTGATCAAGTAGAATGCTACCCATTCAGCCAAATGGGGCACCTGCTATGTATTTGGGTTCTGTGCTGCCCAAAATATAACTGCACAGTAATAGGTTTAATGAACTTTAAAGGATTTATCATTGAAATATGGCTGTTCATATATGATCAAACCAGTTTTGGGATATGATACTTTGAAATTCAAGTGATTTTTTCCCTAGTATTGCTTATATCAGTAAGCATTTTGCCTTTTAATTTTTATACATTAAAGATACTGTATATTTCATATAACAAAGAATGAAATAGATTACATATATTTAAGTTTAGCACATTTCACCAAGAACATAGATCAAGCAAAAGATTTGTAAAGCAGAGAGATAAATGCCCTGTGTGTTATCGGGCAGTTAACAGTACTAGTTGGAGTGGATTAACTTTACAAACAGAAGATTTCATTCTTTGCCCTTTGTAATGAATAAGACAATCACTCTTTCTTGTTGTTCCCATTGTTTAACATGTAAGTGTGGTTTCACTTGGAAATGTTGAGAGCTACTTTTTTCTACTGGGTGATGTTCGTGATGGTAGTATTTAGATTAATTTGCAATTAAGACTTTGCCTTAGAGCAGGGGTCCTCAAACTACGGCCCGCGGGCCACATGCAAATACAAATATTGTATTTGTTCCCGTTTTGTTTTTTTTATTTCAAAATAAGATCTGTGCAGTGTGCATAGGAATTTGCTCATAGTTTTTTTTTAAACTATAGTCCGGCCCTCCAACCGTCTGAGGGACAGTGACCCTGTTTAAAAAGTTTGAGGACCCCTGCCTTAGAGAGTAGTAATACTTACTAAATTCAGTGTGTATTTATTGAAGGCTTGTGTGTGTATTCTGATGCTGTTTGCTGCAGGAGAACAAAAACTAATTGGGTTATGTCTTTCCTCTGTGAGCTTGTAGAGTCGAGACTTAAACACAAGGTATTTAAACCCATGTAATAGTGTAAAAACTTGTGCCTAAGTGTCTAATGAGTACTTTAAATGTCCTTGGCTGTACTAGGTGCATGGAGTGATCAGGACCCGGTCAATCATTTGGAAGAGAATACACTCAGCTATTTCATATGTGTGTTTCTTTATTCTTTTTATAAAGCATTATTTATCGAATGAGAAGTTTTGATTTCCAACCAAAATCTTTTCCTTTGAAATTTAAACACATACCTTCTTTCAGAAGCAATAGGAAGCATATTCCTTACAGAAATGATCTTTAGAACTTTTACATACTTTTTCTGATACTCTCATCTTATTCTTCACAAGGGTAAACATTCTCAACACCTTTATCCTCTTGTTTTAGATCTTGTTTATGATCTCAGTGTATGTGATGTCTTCAGTTTCTATTTCAATTCTCCTATAGATATTTTAGATAGATACTTCCCTCAATCATAAATCTAATTTTCAGTCTGGACTTAGAAAGTCATTTGAATCATACCTGATCTTTCTTGTATAGCATATTCCTTATACATAATTGCTGGTGACTTTTAGAAATGGTTGGATTGTTTCTTAATGGATAGGTTAATGTGTTTCATAGTGTCCTGGAAAACTATAATGAGATTAATAATAGAAAACATAAAATCCAACTTCGAGATATGGAGTGAAGGAGTGTTATGAACCATGCTAATTTGAGACATGGAATTATGCCTTTATTCTCAGGAATTTCTCAAAACCAAGAGGTTGAATTAATTAAATTTGTCTTAGATAAATCAAGATAGAAAGGGGGACACTTTTTCATTCTTTATGTTAATTCAGAACATTTACTGAGTCCTTACTATATGTTTAGGAACAATGCAAATGTTATAAATATATAAAATGATTGGAGCCGATCAAGTTAGAAACTGTTGATAGGTGGGAAGTGTACAGCCCATTAGGGATGCTTCTAAGGCTATTCTCAATCCTCTGCTTGGATGATGTTTCTAAGGCCACTGAAACTTTATTAAGGAAGTCATACCCCGTTCTCTGTTTCTGGTAGCCTTATGCCCTTCGGATCGGTGCTCTTGAAACATAGTGTATCTGAAAGGGATATTTTTCTAATTCTCAGCAGGAAGGAGATTGCAGGGTTAATGCTGAGGTGCAGTGCACTATACTTTTCTGAGTGTTTCCTCAAACTGTATAGAGTTTTACAGACCTGGGTTCAAAGGAGAATCACCCAGGGCAGCTGTGTTGCTCTAAACCCTACATGCTAGTTGTTGAAAACGGTTTCATTAGCGTTTTCTTCTTCACTTGGGGCTCTGCGTTGTCAGGGGGTACACAAGGCTTTTTATTCAGGATAGTGCTCTGAGCATAGTTCTGAGATCCCAGTTTCTGTCTTTGTGGAGCTTTTTCTATCTAAAAGTCTCACTCAGTGCTTCTTAAACTTAATATGGGTATGAATCAACCGGGGATCTTTTAGAATGTGGATTTGTGATTCAGTAGGTTTTTTGTGGGCAGTTACCTTGATGCGCTGGTTAGCCTCCAAGTATGCTACCAGCTATCAGAGGTTATGGCATACAGGCTCAGCAGCCAAATTAATATACTGGAGTCACACGATTTATCAACTCAGTTTAAAACCTGCCGCCGGAAGCAAGAGGAAAGCCATAGAGTAAGTTCATATACCTACAGTGCTAACGAGTTTGGAAGGACCCACTGCCTGAGTCCTGGGTACACAGTATTCATATGTCCCATTCCTTTTTCACCTCACCCTTCCCCATTAATGGTGTGGTTATGAGGACTAAAGTTGATGTCTGAGCAAGGACTCCACCGACTAATGATGCAGACCTGCTCCAACACAGAGTGAGGACAGGTGCACTTAGATACAGCGGTAGCGTTGCCAGTTTGCCTGCTGATGAGCCATGGGTTTTATTTGCATTTCTTGGGTAGAGCACCCAGGATAGGACCATACTGAGTGTCCTCATGGGTGGCTGAAATGGAGAAGACATAGCTGTCAGTCCAGATATGGCATGATGATAATTTGATCTTTCCATCCCTTTCTATTTGCAAGTAAACCTCTGTTTTTTTCCATCATGTTTTCTATTTTAGCATGTCTTACAGGTTACTAACTTACTTATTTAACACATATTATGAATTGTGCTCTCTTCTTACAAGCTTTTTTTATAAAAAATATATTTTTATTGATTTCAGAGAGGAAGGGGGAGAGAGAGATAGAAACATCAGTGATGAGAAAGAATCACCTATCGGCTACCTCCTGCATGTCCCCCAATGGGGACTGAGCCCGCAACCCGGGCATA